AGACACGACGCTGGAACCGCAGCGAAGAACCGGAGCCGTTTTCCCGGCTCCTAAGGGAAAATGGCAGGATAAAAAAATACCCGCACTTGAAAGTCGGATTATTCACACCTGCTCCTTTCCATATTCCTTTAAATTAAATGTGCCCCAAGGAACTCGGAAATCTATATTCAGTGATGAGTATCTTGCCCGCCTCCCCGAAAGGCAGAGCCCGGCGGTGCCGTGGCAGGAACGCAGCCGCAGGTCGCGGACAGGCTTTGGCAGACGAGAATCGGGGAGAAACCGGCCCCTTCCCGGCGGCAGAACCCTCACTCGTTGACCTTTCCAGCGCTCTGCAGACGGGAACGCCATCTGGGACTATCCCTGCAGCCCTGCTCATCCAGTGAGCCTGGCACCTTCCCGAGATAACGCCTCTGGCTTTTGTTTAAATGCTGAAGTCGCGTTTTATGAATTTCTGCGGATTAGACCCGAGACTCTTAACAAATTACCTTGACAGGTCACCTGTGTAACTACCACCTCTAGATGGATTAGGGCTATTTATGGTCTCGCAGTTTATAGCTCTGGTGAGCTGATCTATAAATGAGGCTTCAGTCTGAGTTTGAAAAGGCTGTGTTTTTTTCCTAAACCCAGAGATGATCACGAAGGAGTTTTATGGTGGCACATTTATTGAACTGCTGGGGACTGGCATCTCATGAATAGCCCGTAAAGCTGTATTACTCGCTGTACATTAGCACTCTAACACAAACTCCTAAATGCCTTTTCCTCGGTTTGTATTGTGTTTTGATTAACACTAGGACTGCATTCTATTATACAGGTTTTCACGTGAAAAATAACCCTGTTAATTGGCAGGAGATTAAAAGGTAACTCATTAATAAGAAATGTGACAATTTAATAATGTCCCTGTAGTCCCCAACGCCCAAATTAAAGGGACAGACACAGCCATATTCACCATGATCAGTTTTATTGCTTGAGAACCAGAGTACTCATTTCTAAAGGCCTTCAAAGTTATCATGAGTTGAGTTCGCTTAAATAGAATTACCGTGTGGTTATAATGCGACATGGCACAATAACAATACAGAGCTGCAAGACACCCTTTGGGCAACAGTACTTAATATAAACCCAGACTGTACTGTTGAGAAAACGTTCTGCAAGCGGACATCAAATCATCTTCAATGGTAGTGATTTATACCAAAATCAAGCATCAATCTAATGCCATCACGCAGTCCATGAACTCTGTAGTGTTCTAAATTAAATCAATAAAACATACATTTGTGTTTCATCAACAGACTCCCTAATCACCTTTTAATGTTGTATTTAGTGGTGGGAGAAAAATGTTCGTAACAAGATTATATTGTAGGCTGCACTGAGCTACTAACCAGGAAAATTTACAGTCGGTTTTTATTTCATTAACACTGTATAAATACAGTCTGTGTCCAATGCAGTTGCTACCTGAAGCAGACTATTATTTTCTTCTCCCATGTTGTTATTGTTTCAATATAGAATACTTGGCACCATAAAACAGTAACAAAAGACAGACAAAAACAGTTTACAAAATTCTGGAAAGTTACACCCAAACCTAGCTAAGAACTTCACATTCAATCCTTAATATTACATAGAAAGAAGGGATTATAGGAGTAACAAAGTGAAACTGCTAATATATGTGCTATATAGTATGCTATATATCTGTATCCAGGATGGCACTGCGATATATTATTTATTATATAAATGTTGGTTGTTGATGTACACTTAACTAAACCTGCTAAGACTCCAACACTAACTGCTGATATGGCACTCTCAAGCATTCATATTGGAAAGTATATTTAGCGTAAGTTTTGGTCAGGTTTATAAATTATTTATATATCTGTGTATATATACACATACATACATATATATACACACACATATATATGTATGTATAGAAAGCAGCTGCTGTGTGATTCAAAAACCATGTAACATGGCAGTATAGTAAATAACATGAGAAAAAATTATAAAAATGGAAAACAAAATACTAAAACTAAAACACAAACCATAAGCCTTGGTCAACAAAGAAAATACCATTTAAAACCATCAATATCTCTATCTATACAATCCAATGTACAAAACCCCAAAGTGGTAAAGATATATAATGTTAGGCATGACACCTTTAAAAGTTTATAATATGCTGAAATAGCTTTTCCACATTGACAAACACTTATTAAAAGTTGAAAGTTGTGAAATCTAAAATACATAACATCTCTGCTGTCTATTTAGAGTTTTGGCAACAGAATTGTGACATATATATAAAAAATAATTCCACATTTCTACTTGATGTCACATGAACATACAAGACAGTGAGGTATGTGAGGCTTTTCTCGAACAGAGTCCAGATGCTGAAGCATAGTGTACGATCAGCAGTCTAAAAATGTGGCACTCGGGACTTGATTTATCAATACAGTTGTTACGATTATGTATTTCAGCATACCGCGTATTCCTTCCCCTCCTTGCTACAGTGTGGTTTCACGGAAAATCTTCTCGTTTCGTAGGCATCTTTTTCCTGTTGCAGAATTGGCATTTTTTTAAAAAGAAAAATAAACACAGGGGAAATGATGTAGAAAATATAAACGTAAAGGAAAAAAAATGATATTTACCACCACATCACTGCACGACACAACACTTGTGCACATTTGCAATAGGTTTACCTGCCCCAGCAGCTATTCGAAAGGACAGGAACACAGGCTGCAGCAAGTTAGGGAAAAATAGAAGTTACACATTTGAAATATAAACAATTTTTTTTTTTTTACAGTCAGTAGCAAACACAACAGAAATTCCTCTATGACTGGAAACAAAACGATGCAATAATTTCTTGGATTAATCTAACTCCAAAATGCACAACAGAACTACATCAGCTCCTTACGGATCTCTGCTCCCCTTGAAATCTAAGGGAAAATTTGCCACCGATTTCTGTGGGAAGAGGATTGGGTCCCATACACAACTCCCTTTTATCACATAATTAGCTCCACTGAAAGTGCCGTGCTAAAAAAATTCATGTTAATTACACTGGTGACAAAGGAAACAAAAATTACTGTTTCCGAACTGGCTGTCCTTCAGCTGCTGACACACTGAGCTTTTCGTTTTACTGGAGAAGTTAGTATAACTTCTGTATTTTAAAATCTGACTTGGACGATTCTGGACCAAATATCTTAAGTGCATTCTTCCTTAGAAAAACAATACTCTGTCTCACAAGAACTCTGGCCATGAAAGTAAATATAGCTGTATATTTGTGAATGTGGATTTACATGCATACACGCGTACACACATGTAATTACCCATTATCCATCACTGAATTATCATTCGAGAGCCTTAGCACTGTCTCCAGGACTGATACATTACCATTGTCATACAGTTTACAAGTTTTTGCAAGTTTCTAGTTGAGTTCTTAATATAGGTTTTATATAGTTTCTATATAGGCTGTCAGAGGTTACTCCTCGATCAGTTTTTTTCAAAGAAAGCGAATCCTCAGTTTTGCTGTATTTCTAACTTAGCTTTCCATCTGGGATCTTCAGCAGACAAGATTGTTTATAAAATTCATGTCTTTTTCTTCACTTTATCAACTGGTATTTATGTAATTCTATACCCTTTTTCTCACTTGTTATTTAAATATGGAACTGCCAATATGTTATTTTACTAATACGCAGCTAGGCACCAAATTAATTGAAACTATGTTTTGGAAGCAATTTTGATAACCCTATGAAAATACTTTTGTTTTACAAGAATAGTTGTAAGTGCACAGACAGTTGCTCCTCTTCCTTTTGTATTGTA